ACGGTTAGCAACCATCTCCCAGAATTCAGCTAGCACGCTCACCCAGCAGATACACTGCTCTCCTACCACCAACATAGTGAAGGGAAGACCGCGTCTGTCCGAGAGAGCAACTGCAGCCTCCGCCTTGAATTATTGACGTCTCAATGGCGTAGTGTGTGGGTCCCAACTGTTTGGGTTTAGGGCTTGAGGCGGCACGGATAATTAAGCCCAATTGTGATACTCCTATATAGTCCCCGCAAGTACAACCGACTCACTGCAACCCACTCCTTCAGGCAACGAGACCTCGCAAAATCCTGAAAAAAAACCATCTTTTGGCGAGGCTCATGGCCGCCGCGCTCCGAAAATGGGGCCCATAGCCAGCTACCAATTGTGGCCTGAATGGTTTTTGGGTTTTAGAGTGTTTCGGGGTTGGGTTTTTTGTTTCTAGCCTGGTGAGGACAGGCCGCGTTGCAAGGTCGGTAGGGGAAACTATCCTTGACGTCGAGGATCTGTGCTCCCGTGACAGAAGGATACAACATTTCGCATAAACCCTAAACCCGGAAACAATAAATCCTGATTGCCTCAGGACTTATGCAATCGCCTGAAACGCTAATCGCTAACCGCCAAACCCCAATATGTCCTAGGATTCTTGGAAATCCCAGAAACTGATTAGCATATACGCCCACTGGTGATGAGCATAGGTGGCTATCACCGGTATGTCACCACAAAGCCCGCAGCAAGTCCACACCTGCCGGACTCCGGCCCTAGCCGAACAAACTGTTTTCCGATGCCTACATGTGCAATACAGGGTTTCGAGGGTTTCGGTGGAACAGTACGACGGCTAAACACTTGACTGAGCCCATAACCCTACACCCGAAACCTTCCGCAAGGCTGTCTGAGTTCTAGTGTAAGCCGCGGAGCCCAGCTTTTGGCCACTGGTCCGCATCCAGGCCTCAACCGGGATCGAATCGATGAAGGCCGCTTAGGGAGTCCAGAGTTGAGGGTTGGAACCAGAGTGCGTTCCCGGATTCCCTGCCCAACACCGTGAATCCCAGACCCTTAAAGAGCCCCAGAAAGTTCTCGAAGCAAAGGAGCAGAAAGGAAAGCGTGTCGCAAGGTCCTCCATTGTCATTGCCAGATTGGCCGCAAACGAGTCCTCTGGAGCCCGGAGTGGGCTTGGGCTTAGGCATGTTGTGCTTTAGGGCTTATAAGGGTTTAGTAGGCTGGGCGTGGCTCAAGACCATGTACTATTGCACAACAGCTGACACTCAGACATGACGGCACGCCATCATCATGAAACACGTTCCTTCTCTAACTCTTTACTAAAGCGCAAGCACCCCTGCCCTAAACCCTTAAACCCCCTAAACCCTATAAACCCTAAAACCTTCAAGCTGTGAGACACCCCAAGTTCAGCTCCAGAAGCTATGCCTCGACACTCCACATGGGAGTTTCCGAAGATAGGGGGGCCCTGATAAAGCAACCCAAGTAGCAGGAACCTTATCATAAGGACCCCAAGAATAAGGTACCCCTAATTTTTGGAAACTCCCACATCTTCGGCATGTGGTGAGTTTGGAACTTCGAAAGCTTGCTGGGACTCCGGGGCGCAAACTCCAAAAGTGGAAAGCAGTGTGGCTTTAGATGCCATGTTAGTTCGCAAAGTCTCGCAACTTATGACACCTAAACCTTAAATCCTTGATGCCATGTTACTTCCAAAGTCTAGCAACTTATGGCATGTGGTTTTTTGCCCTCCTACCTATGACATGTGGTTTGGGTGTGAGGGTTCAAGGTACAAGGTTTTTGTCAAGCAGTTTTGACAGAGTTGGTACAAGCCACTACAAGCTGTCGAGAAAACTCCGATGTGTCTGGCAATTTGCTTTTCTGGGTGGGTCTGACAATGGTCCCCGGAGTACCACGCAAACACATGAACGAAAACCCCCAAACCCCATCAGGCCAATTAACAAAACCCCAAGAAACCTGATGAAACTTGGGGAGAACCCTGCTGAATCCTTGTAAGCATTCCCCCAAGCCCACACCCTGAACCCTAATCCCAGGGTCAAGGCTTGGGGGGCGGCTTAACGCCCTCCCACCCTCCGGCTGCGTGAACAGTCTTTTCCCTAATATGCGAAAACAGATCTGGACGTCCCTGAAGCCATAATCCACTGCGGGACAAGAGCCAAACAAAAGTAGCCAAGGCCTTCCTAACTAGATGGATTTGAGGGCTTGGGTAAGCTGGGAAGCTAAAGAATCCAGCACCCCGAGCATCAACCCCTGGTGCCAGCTGCTAGGGCTCAAAGAAGCACCAACGACAGAGAGAGAGAGAGAGAGCCAGCGGTTTGCCGGAAATCCCCTCTGTCCGCATCAGGCGCAAAGGAGATGAACTTTGAGACTGACCTGACATCGCAACGGCAGGTTCTGAGTCTTACATATTATGGGTCTGCAAAAGATAAGGGGGGGGCCCAATATAGACCCTGAAAGATAAGCAAAAACAAGCCCCCCCTCCCCGCCCCCAAATGTACACCTTGGGGCCTGTAGGTTCAACCTACCGTGACCGTGCCGACTGTTCGCAAGGTCGCTTTAGGGGTTCAGGGTTCGTTTGGCTGAGGCATACTAAGGTGTGCATGAAGGTTCGCCTGCTCATCTATACCCCAGCCCCCCCCCTCAACTGTTGAAAAACGAACTAACACAACAACAACTCCTGAACCACAAATTAGGTGTAGCCCCATAGATCACCCCGGACGAGGCACCCGTTTGCCAGATTCCCCTTCGCGTGCTCTCCCACAGCTAGCTCGCCGAGGCTGAAGGCAACCTGGGCTAAAAAAGCCATTTCAAGTCACGGAACACCAACAGCAACAGTAACCATGACACGAAATAGTGATAGAAACAATGCAAGCCTCATAGTAAGATGGCAACAGCAGCAGTAGTAGTAGTAGTCGTCGTAGTGGTAGTGGTAGTGGTAGTGGTAGTGGTAGTGGTAGTGGTAGTGGTAGTGGTAGTCGTCGTGGTGGTGGTGGTGGTTATGGTGGTGGTGGTGGTGGTGGTGGTGGTGGTGGTGGTGGTGGTGGTGGTGGTGGTGGTGGTGGTGGTGGTGGTGGTGGTGGGTGGTGGTGGTGGTGGTGGTGGTGGTGGTGGTGGTGGTGGTGGTGGTGGTGGTGGTGGTGGTGGTGGTGGTGGTGGTGGTGGTGGTGGTGGCAGTGGCAGTGGCAGTGGCGGTGGCAGTAGTAGTAGTAGTCGTCGTCGTCGTAGAAGTAGTAGCAGTAACAGTAACAAGCACAACAACAGCCTAGCAGCTTAACAAATTTGGTCGGGATCGGGGTTATCGAAGCCTGTGCCCCCATTGTCAAGGTATAGGTTGACAAATGCGCAAAAGTAAGCCTTCCACCTAAAGGGCGACGATGGACGAGGATAAGTGCGCCAGTAGAAGGACTGGTCGCAAACCCTAGGAGCGGTGTTGGTCCATGTTGGCTGACATAGCCCTGTCACTATTCCCCCTTAGAACCATAATGCAAATATTATTGGTTCACATTCTCCAGGGTTTTATATGAACAAAAATAAGCACTATAATTCCTACGGAGACTATAGGTCAAAGGCCTACCATGAGAGAGCCTCGGGCTCCCCCACCCCTCGAAGCCATGAGATTCAGGGGGCCTTAGTACATTATAGCATATATATATATATATATTCTGATAGTACGTTATAGCACTTAGAAGTGGAGGTTTGGGGCGCCATAAGGGGATCATAATCTTAGTTGTCCCTAGAAATATCAAAAACTCTGCAACCGGGCGACGCTGACATTTGCAAAGGGCACCGTGTCAAAGCCCATCGGAAGTTGCTGCTCCTCCAACTTCGGGCATCAACAGTGGTGCCGGGGCTCAACCTCTCAACCCTTAACGGTTTGGGGTTTATTTGGGGTTTACGGGTTTGGGGTTTGGGTTTGGGTCCTAGGCCTAGGCTCAGAAGCATAAGCGAATTCAGCAGTGGGCTTGGGCCTAGTAGTCCTAGAAGAGACAGGGCAGTTAATTTAGGCCGCTCGGAAGTTCTGAAAAGCAGGGCAGCTAAGCCCCTGAACCCTCTCTCCTTGAATCCCCAAACCCTGAACCCCACGCTTACCAAAAATCCTTGCACCTTCTGGCCCAAACAAGTGCCCGCTGCATTCCAGCCAGCGAGTAAGCCCCTAACCCTGAGGAATTTTACGGGCAGTTCTTCAGGGTACGGTTGTCAAAATTATGGTCCCTGTTTGGTACCCTACATATCAGGTGCCGTACTATATTAATTAGGGATCACTATCAGGGATCCAAAAAGGGACCATCATGTGGACAACCACCCTCCTAGAGTCTGAATCCCCAGACTCCTGGACCCGAAATACCTAACGAGCACCACCGCACAAAGACTACCAAGACACGGGCCTCAAGGGTTTGGGGATGAATTTTAGTCACTTTTAGTCAACTTTGAAGAAAGAGCCCGAGGCGCCTTTCTTTTGCAGTGCACAGCGCCTCATGCCAGCCTCTGGAAACTTCAGCTCTGGTGGCTGAATGCTCCAAGCTCATGCGCTTTGCGCAGCCAAGGCTCGAGCAGAACTTGAAAGTACTAACCCCAAAACGGTTAGCATTCGGATCTCTGGCAGTATCATAGCCCCATAGTATTTAGCCTGGTAATTACGTATTCAGGTCCCTATAAAACCCAGGTTCTTGGGCACTTGGGGAAGGCATTTCCGGATGACTCGGTCTCCATTTCGGAAGCTGCAGCTACTGCGGCTGTGCGCGGGTCGTGGTGATGACGCGACGTGGTGGGAGTTTTGGGCATCCCTTGTTGGAGTGGTCTAGTATGGACTTGATAGTGGGGACTCTGCTACTGACAGCTCTATCTATTTTTTTCTACATATATAGGTTTCTACTCTCACAATGGGGAACCCCACAACCTCGCAGCTCGAGACGGCCTGTGTGCTGAACTCACGCCACGCAGTGCTGATGCCCTCTGGAATTGGGCTGGTCAGCGACGCCCATCGGCGCCGATTTCATACCTGCCTAGTTTGATAGAGGTGCGGCTCCCGGGTATGTCGAAGGGGCCTTGACAGGTGCGGACTGCTGACCTGCCATGCAGCAGCAAGCCACGCAGCATAACATAAAGCCGACCACCGCCAGCACAGAGCCAATCACGGCAGGTACAATCTGCCGATGATAGAGGAGGCGATGTAGCCGCGGGGCATAGTCGCTGTATCCATCAACGACCCATGTTCTGTAGCCACTGGTCACTGCAAAGGTGCCATTGCGCCCCTCTGTGTCCCTGGCATCTAAGGCGTGAGATTGGTATAGGCTGACGCCGTGGTAGTCCAATGGCCCAGGCCAGCAGCCAGTCTCGTGGATCCACAGTCTCTGAGAGGTATTGGTGGCGACGTGGACGATGCTCAACGAATTCTGATGCTCTCGACAATCCACTCCAGCTTCGTGGAAGAACACTACACTGCGGTACCACTCGCCTTCGTCCGTTCCCAGTTCGAACCTTGGTCTTACGGTGCAAAACAGGTACCCCTACAGTCCAGATTAAAGTCGCATGCTTGGCTACTCCCTAAATGCTAGAAGCCCTGTCTCCGTCATGAGCCTTTCCCAAAAGAGGGAGAGAGCGAGAGAGAGAGAGAGAGAGAGAGCCAGAGACAGAAAAGAGAGGGAGAGAGCGAGAGAGAGACAGAGAGAGAGCCAGAGACAGAAAAGAAAGGGAGAGAGGGAGAGAGAGAGAGAGAGAGAGAGAGACAGAGAGAGAGAAAGTGAGAGGGAGGGCTAAGTTGCGAACTGGAAGTTCGTCTGGCCTTCCACCAGCATGCGATCGTCTGCGATCGCTGCCGCCTCACGGTTGGGGAAGACTCGAGAACCTCCTACTTGCATGTGAAGGCCGTAACATGTAAAGGCCGTAATAACAATTCGAATTAAGAATCATAATTTTAACAATAAGAAGAGAAGGTATTGCGGGGGCATACTCGGGGCATGCTGTATACTAGGCATCATTGGTATTGATTCTTTGGGCCCGGATAAGATAGTACCCTGAAATCATGGCATTCCTGCTGTCATGCGCCACAGCATAGCAGAACTATTTCGATGAAAGGCCCACCTGACTAAGCCCGAGAATGCCGACAATGGCACCAATGCCAACGATCAAAGTGCCGACTCCAGCCAGCACCTTCGCACATAGCTGATGTCCACATCCGGTGCCACACAAACTCGTCTCCATGTTGTTGGGCTCTCGTCGGGGATGCCACTACCGTGGACTTTGAACCCAGTTGGCTACGTGCTCAAGTATTCCCAGGTCTTGGGCTTGGCGCTTCAAGGATGGGGAGTCGGAGTCTTGGCGGAGTCTGATCAAGCAGGATCCGTCTTTATCAACCTCAAGACTCTTTTACCCATATGACAGCATGCTAGGTTATGGGTACGAGAAGTCTGAGGAGCGCTAGCCCTCCGTCTTTCCTCAAGTCTGTGGGTTTTGAAGTTTGCATACGGTATGAAACTGGGGTGTTCTTGAATATAGAAACCTTCATGAACAATTAGTATACCAATACTCCCATTCCCTCTGTCTGCTTAATCCCTCTGGCGGCTTAATAAAACTATAGTTTAAAAGGGTCCGAAACCCAGTCCATTCGCGCGGTGCTTTATTCACGCGTCCTCGTTGAAAGCCATCACGAAGTCCTGGTTGTTCGCGCAGTACTCCTGCAAAGGGACGAGCTGAAAAAAATCTGAAACCCTTACACTGGAACAGGAACTCTACCATATTATGGCATAATCCGTAATGTTGACCCCTGATTAATAAACACCCCCCCCCGCCCCCCCCCCTTCAAGGTTGTCAAGGTCGCAGGCCCCCCACAGGATCACAGACCCCCAAATAATCCCGTGAAGCCAAATTGCAGTAAACAGTGGTGCTAGTAGTAGTAGTAGTAGTAGTAGTAGTAGTAGTAGTAGTAGTAGTAGTAGTAGTAGTCGTAGTAGCAGCAGTAGTAGCAGTGGCAGTGGCAGTGGCAGTGGCAGTGGCAGTGGCAGTGGCAGTGGCAGTGGCAGTGGCAGTGGCAGTGGCAGTAGCAGTAGCAGTAGCAGTAGCAGTAGCAGTAGCAGTAGCAGTAGCAGTAGCAGTAGGCGTAGGAGTAGGAGTAGGAGTAGGAGTAGGAGTAGGAGTAGGAGTAGTAGGAGTAGGAGTCGTCGTCGTCGTCGTAGTAGTAGTAGCGGTGACAGTGAGCCCGTAAAAGATGTTGTGATCGGCCACCCGAGTTGATTAATCGTGGGTCGTTGATTAATCGTGGGTGACACACCGTTGCTAGGGATGGCTCAGAAAGCTTGTTTGGGGGCCTGGAACAACACAGCGATTAATCTTGAAATCATTGCTTTGGAGGCTTTGGTGGACCTGTGCAAAACGAAGAAATCGGACCTAAAAAGCACTTGTGCAGCACAACTTCAAAAGTGCGAACAAAACTACCCTGAACCTTGAAAGCTACCCCTTGAAAGAACCGCTTGAAAGAGGACAAGACGCCCTTTAAATGTAGTCTTGCCCCCTTTAAAAGTAGTCTTCGAAGCACTTTTTGAAATTTTAGATCCCCAGACGGTGTTGCCTTTAATCGCGGGGGGTTTTCTGCAAAAACGATCCTTATTTGGGTGCTGCCTTTAAAGTAGTACAGATTGGGGCCGGAGCCGCCCGCAGGCCGCCTTTAATCGTAGGGGGATTATTAATCCTAGGTCAACATTAACTACAAGCACAAGGCCGTTAGTTAGGCAACGTACCCGTACTTCTCGGAAACTCCCCATGTTTTCATGAGGGAGCCACACGGGGCGCTCTTTTTCGGATCTTGGGGGTCTAGGCTGCTGAAGAACAAAATAACCCTAAACCCCTGAACCCTAAAGCCCTAAACCCTAATCCCTAAACCTCTTAAAATCCTAAATCCTAAACCCCTAAACCTTATAAATCCCTAAACCCCAAAGCCCTAAACCCGAACTCCCTAAACCCTGAACTCCTAAACCCTAAATCATCAACCGTTACTTCAGCCCCACTCTCGGCCTTCTTCACGGCGATCATCGTCTGGCTCAGTGGCTGCACCCAAAGAAAGAAAGGTGCCAGCGAAAGCGTCGCCACCATGATGAAAATGAAGAGGCCTTCCTGAGGCAGGATTTTTAGGTGTAGTGTTCGTTAGCATGATAAAGATGAAGAGACCTTCCTGAGGCAGGATTTTTAGGTGTAGTGTTCGTTAGCAATTGGTTCAGATGGCTTTTTGCCTGCTGCATCGCTACCATAAACCCCAAACCGTGCTTTTTGAATTCAAGCTGATATGCATCCGACGGACCTTAACCCTGAACCCCAGAAGTCCTAAACCGTGCGCCCTATACCGAAACCGGCATTCATTCTTGGACCAGGCAGAGGAGGCTTAGGCAAGGGTCCTCATGTGAGACTGAATCTCGGAGTGGGGCATGGGCACCGTGGCTTATCTTGTTAATATCACTATGCTTGCAGCTGTAATGCGACTTGTAATTCTGACTAATACAGTATGTGGCAGTGTCAAGAAAATATACAAGCCGCAGACCTTTCTGAAACCATTACAACATCCTGGGCAAACTCTATAGCGAGCCGGACAAAACTAAAGGCACCCCTTTTATATACTTGAAACCCCCGAGTAGATGGTAACTACATACGTCGGCCTGGATAGGGTAAGGAACCCAAATCTACAACTCTGCGTTAAGTCTGTATGGGTCCTAGTTATAATGTTTCTAGAACACGGGTTGGACAACCACGCCATGAAGTTCGCGTAAGATTTGACGTAGACTGCGAAATGCCCAGAAAGCTTGTTTCAAAATTGCGACCCTAGGAGCCCCATAAAGACGTCACAAGATGCCGGGAGGTCGGTGTATGGAGGTTTCACAACATAATCGACCTGTACATAGACCCTGAGTCGTAGGATCGTTACCATGAAGACCCCCCGAGATACGGCCTTGAAATCGAATCCCACCGATGAAACATGTCAGGACGAGCTTCCAGCTGACTTTTCGCGCGTGTGTACTTCACCTGGATAGCCTCCAACTCGTAAATGGCGACCTGTACTTTCCTCGCAGCTGGGCTTCTCTGCTAAAATTCGGTTTTCTTGTATCTGAAAACGCGAGGCACGTGGTCACTTGGCCGGCCGAGTCGGTCCACACGGTTTAGGGTTCAAGGCTTAAGGCGAATGGCTAATTAGAGTTGTGATGCTTCGCCTCAACACTTCGCTGTCGAAATTTAGACGTTAGACATACCCTGAATGCGTAGAACGTTGCCTGAATCCTCAAGAAGGCCCTGACTATACAACAGTTCACCCTCAAGCCGAAAGTCCAAATACCAAAAGCCAAAGAATTGGTCTCCCAAGTGTCTTGGGCAGCAAGGATGCAAAGATCATCTCATCTATTTCAAGGATGGCCTTAAACGAATGCCGGCATCGGATGCGTTCAGGTATCAGTTTATACTAAGAGGGTTTAGAGTTTGGAGGTGTTGATTTTGGGTTTGGGCTTTAAAGGAAAAATTTGAGGTCCATCTGAAAGCCTCTGCGTGAAACCCTGAGTTCACAAGCATCAAAGTATCGAGCCATAAAATCGAAACACCAACATCTTAACCGGGAAGCGACTCCCAAATCGCTGCCTGTGCATAGAAGCCCTGAGACCAACACCTACATGGGTGGTTGTCAAAATTATGGTCCCTTTTGGGGTCCCTAGTATATTACGGGCACCTAATATTTAGGGGGCCCCAAAAGCGAGCATAATTTTGACAACCACCCACATGCAGCCCTTACCGTCCCTACTTACTATTCTTCACTTTAGAATACGCAAGGACCCGTCTATCGGGATCATACTCCAACACCCTTCTGTTTTGAGGATCAGTTGGACCACTTTCATTGGCGGAGGTACAACATCTTCGGACAGTCCTAGAGCAGCTACGGGTTGATGTTAAACACGAAAAGACATGCGCAGTGAAGTCCATCATAGGTGAGCCTTCAATCCCTAAACTCCTTTGTGAAGCCCTGTAAGCCCTAAACTCAAAGCCCCTAAACCCTGAGCCCCAAAACCACTGAACCCATACACCCTAACCCCTAACTTATACTAACCCCATGACCCTACACCTTGAACCACCAAACTTTAAAGTCATAAACCCTAAACCACCAAACCCCTCAAGCCCTAAACCCCCAATAACTGCCAATAACTAAAAAGTCAACCTTGAACGACTAACCCAATAAACCCTAAACCCCTAAACCCCTAAATCCAAAACCCTACACCCTGCATCACTAAACCCGCAACTCATAAACCCTAAATCACTATACCCCCAGACCACTAATACCTAAATATTAAACCCTAAGCCGCTAAACCCTAAACCCGCTACAACGGTGTCAGCCGTCTTCTGGGCCCGACGACATCCCACAAACCCTTCTGCAAGCCGCGAAGAGTGTAATATAGAGAAGGCTGAACCATTTGACTAGGGTTCCGAGGTGTCTATAATTCTTACCCTATAAATAGTTATACGGTTTTGGGCTTTGCAACCAAAAACTATATGGGGTGTTTGGGCTTCTATACAACGAAAATCACTTGGACCACGGTGTTCCTCATTGCGTAGACCCCCGTAACCAGGGGCAAGGCTTGCGATCTTTGCCTTGTGTAAATATTACTGCAGACCAGAGCTGTGGTTGTACTGCAGACCCCTCTCACCTTCACACAGCCTCCGATTTTTGTTCAAGGGGAGGCACACTGAACCTTACGAACCCTTATAAGGCCTTATCAGTCATACCCTTACCAAAAGCTAGGACCTATAGTTCTGCCTACAAGGTGCGCCCAAGGCGACTGCATTGAGGATCAGGTCTGCAATGTTCCTGACAGGCCGGACATTTCGTCTATCCGATCCTTACGGAGGTAGGGAAAAGTGCGTGTCCGAAACCTGCATTCCCGGACATTAGCTCCAGAGCCCATTCCGACTTTCCTGAGATTCAATGCAATATATACATGGATAAAGGACCCTAGAGTCCATCCTCGGGAAATTGCGTGTGTAGACTGGGTATTCGGATTGACGGCCCAAAACCCAGAACCCTAGAGCATAGAGAGTTTAAACACAGCTTCTGCGACTCGATGCGACTCGATTTTCGGGTAGCCTTCGCAGGAGAAGCTCTATCAATAGCTCGCCTGTCTCGCGTTTTTTTAAGCTATACCACAACTCCCAAGCAGCATTTACGGACTCTGATCTGGGGACCCTATTGAAACTCAAGGGGCAAACGGGAGTTTTACCTTAGGACCTGAGGCTGATAATGAAAACGCTTACAGTATCGCAATCCTCAACATGCCGCTCGTGGAAAGAATCCTACACTAGTAATTAATACTTTACAATACTAATAATAGGAATAATAGCAATTATAACTAGTAGTAACAGCAATAGTACCTTCATCCCTAAAGTACTAGTGTATAATGGCAGAAACATGGAATGCATCTACACGGAGCCATGCGCACTGTCGAGTTCAAGTTCAGAGCAACGCAGGCGACCACATTATTCGGCTGATGGGCCCATGCAGAAAGCAGGGACAACAACAACAGTAACACAATAGTTCAATCGTAACACCTGCCAATCAACAGTTGCCCACCACCCACCACAACATTAGCAACAGAAATGGCATGAAAAAGCTGCCGCATTGTATGAGCAATTCCCTGGTAAGATCGCATTCTTGTCATATAATCCCAGCAGAGCCTTCAAATAACAAAGCAGGACAATGCTCACCACTGGGCACCAAAGAGCCCGCCCAGAACCATTCTCACAGACAGGCCAAGACACGTGGTCCGCGCCAGCCACTGAATGCCCGCATAAAGCAGGCCTCTCTTACATCGTTCTTTTGGGCTCTACATTACCAGGGTAAAGAAACTACTCGATTACCACCTTGCCACATGATCTTCCCATCAGATCCCATCATGGCATCCTCGCAACTACACTCCTCGAGAACACAATAATTCTTTTTGTTCACCCGTTTTCCATCTTCACAGGTTCATATACTGGGCTGCAGGCTGAGGGATCGGAGCAACTTTTGGGCTTGCAGGGTTTCAGGTTTGGGGTATTTCTAACCGAGGCTACAAAAGCAGATTAGCGGCTCTGGAATTTTTTTGAATTTAAATCGTCATATCAAGGGGGCCCTCACAGTAATGCCAATACTGGTAGCAATTCATGCCCTTCTATTGCAGGAATCGGGGTTCGAGCTGTCACAAGTCTCGATCTATGGCATGCCGAAGAAGGCATCAGTAAATAGGCAGAACTCCAAGCTTGCTCAAGGACCTGGTTTCACGACTCATACCTCTGCTAGGTTTGGGGCTCATGACTACAAGTTCTATTATGGATACCCCGTCCTTGCTAGACCTGCATTTGCGCAACCCCCCAATACCCTAAAGTGCACAGCACGTATCCAACACATATGAACCCTTACGGAGAGCTCCAGATATGAGGCTGTATAAGCCCTAAACCCGAAAACCGCAGCGTAAGAGCCTTGGTAGTTGGAAAATGCTTTCGGAGTGCATGAAAAGAATGGTTATACGTACGAGCAATAGCAACCCTAAGGAATAGCAGCACTAACAAGTTTCCAGGCTCCAAATCTTAGATTCTTCCTTAACGTTTCAAGACTTAAGCGGGGCGAGATGCAGCCCGCCACAGCAGTCCTGGCCAGCCGCAGGGTCAAGTACCTCCGTATCTATAGGGTAAGGATTCGGGCTAGGAACAAAACAGAGATCCCTTTTCGTGGTTTTCTACGGAGCCTCAGACAGACCATAAAAAAAAAGTGAAAAAGGGCCCGCGGGGAGACCTAGGCAACCGCAAGGTTTCGGGTGTAAGGGTGCTAAATCTTCGATCTCGTAACCCTGACGCCCTACAAACACCCAAATCTTGAATTTCTGAAACTATAAAAAATAAAAAACACAACATATATATATATATATATATATATATATATATATATAACTCTTAAGATTCCAACCCCAAATCTGAGGATCCTGACTCCACTTCTTTCCTCCCTATATACATCCCAAAATGTCGGGGAGCGTGCTTGTCATGTCTGCTTGGGGCAGCCGCTACCTCTCACCCTGCAGGCCAAGTCCACAGAGCCTCCAAAACCACGTGTGGGAGAAGAACCCTGCATCCAGAAACAAAGCGGTATCGTACAGGAGGCCGCACGAACATTACCGCAATGTCCTACAACTCTGGAGTCCCCCTATACTCCAGAGCCCCAAGCTCCAAAACCCTACCCTGGTTGCTAAGCTGCATGAGCCTCCATGTTTTAGGTGCTATAAGCTGTATAGGGTAACCCGAAACTGTAAACCCAACCAATTCCCTGGTAGTCACCGTACGCAAAGCCTAAAGAGCAAACTACAGTGGCAAGTTAGAGCCATTAGAGCCAAGGCGCACTCCGAGACGGCGCCAGGAAATGGTGACAAAGCCTTGCCGAACCCTGCACCCTCAACCCTTGAAGCCAACTTTTGCGTTTCTTATTAGTTAGAATAGGGTTTTGGGGCCCATTATACTATAACTATAGTAAGGAACCTCCAAAATAGTACTGGCAATTATTGAGGCCCCTATATTCCCAACACTTATTCGAGGTAGACGGCTGCAGGCGTTCGGGCTGAGGTCGCTTAAGGCGCCTAGATTCGAGTGCTCTGGTTGATGATATACAACCTGCATTACCTTAAGGGACCTAAAGTATGGGAATTATGGCATATTCCTTATTATGGGTAATGCAGAATTTATATCATCAACCGTCCGGGAATTGTTGCACATGGGACGGCAGTACACTCTGGAAAGGCTCCCTTCGAGTGTTGGGGGAAGGGCAAACACTACGACTGCTCCTACCACTGCTGCTGCTACTAATTACCACTTACTACTACGACGACTACCACTACTGCTTCGCCATCACGAGGATGAGAACATTGAGACTATGACTTCCTGATTGAAACCCTCAGTACCAATGATGTCCCACGGGCTGCCGTGTGTGCTGATGCCCCGAGTGGGCCCTGGTCGTACGGCTTAGGGTCTAGGCATAATAACCATAAGAGAAATGTGTAGGCTAGAGTGATGATATACTAATACTATAATGAGATCTTAAGGATTGAATGTGCCGCAGATGATGTCTTCCGATGAGCTACCTGCCGTTCGCCACATGGAGGACGTCTATAAGAATGAAAGCCATGCCAGCTGTTCGAAATCCTCGCGAAAAGCTTCCTCGGCTACAAAACTGAGCTCGCAAAACCAGCAAAGGCCCAGGCGACCAGTCTTGAAGATCGTCACATGCGCCCGTGGAATCTGCAAAGCTGCCTTCAGAAGCAGTCGCCGACAGGTGACAAGACAATACCGCGAGAACTCCATCAATTCTAAACGATCTTCGATGATCATGCATGAATGTATGCATGCCGTATATGTAATCGGGCCACCAAAAACTAAATGCAATTGATTGTGGAGCCGGCTGCATCGGCTACTTGCAACGAACGAAGTCTTACCTCTGAGTCTCTTCACAAGACATCCAGAACCGCATCGATCGTCTTGCATATTTGCAAAGCTGGGTATTGGTTTAGGGTGTAGGGGTTGAGCGCTTAGGGTTTAGGGGTTGACATGCTGGGCACTTGGTCGCTGGTCTAGCCCGGGCAGTAAAGACCCGGAAACAACACTTGTTCGCTGCTTATGGCTGCTTAAGTGGTATTTCAAAGGTCGAAGTAAATTGCGCTTGTACGTACCATGACTATGAACCTTCAAGTCCTGGATCCTACAAAATGTGAGCCTGTCTTGACTTCTAGACCACGTGCTGCCACTAAGACAATTAGAGAAGACTACAGATTCTTGGCGGGCACTGTTGCGAATTTCCGGGGCGCACCTCGACAGAGACCCAGATGGCTCGAAACTCCTTGCAGAGATAAATGCACCAAAGCCTGAGAAGTGGTCGGATTCAAGACGTCACTGATGGCAAGGAGCCCGGCGAATTGAACCCTAAAGTTCCCTGAACCCTAAACCCTAAAGTTCCCTAAAACCACAACCCGAAATAGGCTTCTTGGGCTCAGGTTGAGGTCTCACGCTGCAGCGTTTGGAACTCCGACAAATCTGCCGGGATCAAAATGCAAAAGGAAGTTACATAACCCCCACGCAACACCAATTCGACAAAGAAGGTTTGGAAAGCATAGGAGAGCTATTCCCCACACAACACCTAACGTACCCGAATTCGGCAAAGAAGCCTCATAAAGCCTTGGAGAACTGTCGGAGAACCCTTCCAGGGTGACAAGCCCATGATCCGATATTCAGCGGAGCCGGGGAGCGCGTGATGTCTGGATCGCGACTTGTTCGATTTCAACAGTCCCCAAAATCCTAAACCCTGACCACGTGGATGTTCAAACTTCCATATTAAGCCTAAATCCCACCCGCAGACGCTACCGTAAACCCTAAACCCCCATACCCTAAACCCTAACCCGAACCCAGAATCGCAGGCTGAGTAGCAAGATGCACAGCCCAGAGAGTATGGTTCCCGGCTGCAGGTTGCTCGGCTCCTTTTTGCAGAGTTTAGAGATTTAGGGCTTAAGATGTAGAGTTTTAGTGTGATTTAATTTAGCGGATTTAAGGGTATCGGGGGCATGTTGATGTGCGAAATTTGCCTGGGATAATACCTCCCTTATTGGCTTAGGTTTTTTGGAACACCACCGCCCTTCTCTCCAAACGCTGGATGTGGATCTTTTTTTTTGAGGTGCACACTTGGGCTCAGCGTATCGTACCTGGACCTTGAGACTGGAGGGTTTGGGGCTATGTAAGCTAACCATCCCTGCTACCTGGCTTTGAAGGGGATCATGTTACGACTTGGTCGGGCCTTCCCTGGAAGATCACGTTTTGCTGCTCCAACCTCTTGGCGTTCAGCTCTCTCTTTGAGCTACATCCCTCGAAGAAGGGCTCATGCGAAAAGTACCAAGCCCTTGCACCCACTCGGTTCCAGTGGGAAGCTTTCAGGCTCCAAGGGTGCCACCTCACTGCACAGAATCCCTGCTGCCAAGTATCGCTGCCGTCGCTCAGGGCACCCACGGCTTGACAAAAGTCAAGGAGAGGTAACCGACCCGCCACAGTCCAAATCTTCAGCCACGAAAACAAACTTACGAGAAATTCTTGTGGCCGCGCATTTCACGTACTCCTGAAGTATAGACCCTAACCGTTCCCTAACCCGTTCTTGGGGGCTCCTTTGTGTGAAGGTCTTTTGGTTCAACTTTCGGGTTAACTGCAGATCCGGATTCGAAAGGCTCACCGGTAGCGCTGATGCCCAGAAAGCTGTCGATCTCGCTGAGGAGGTTGGCTTGCACTGTCGACCTGACTTGGGTTTAGGGTTTAGGGTTTGGGTTTAAGGGTGACAGGCGCGGGGATTGTGAAGCTGTCCTTCAAGACCTAATGAGCCGTAATGGGGCTCTACACATTCTATTGACAACCCTGGTGTGCACCCTCAACTCTTTGCGGATGTGTGGGTTCAGCTGGCCCTTGAGTTTTGGACATGGTTTCCAGCAGCCCCCAAACCCGAACCATTCATGAAATTCAGACCCTTGGTCCTGACTTTAATCTCAATCCTGAATCCGGAGCGGTTCAGCCCCAAACACAGCACCCGTAAACCAGCCTTACTAACCAAGCCTGTATGGCCTAAACAGACAGCCCAAAGCCGAATCCTGAATCAAACCGCGTAATGGCTTTGCTGACTTCGAAAATAGATTCCGGTGCATTTCGGGCTACACTAATTACTGGCTGATGACTGGTCGTAAAGTTGACGTCATAGGATCGCGCTTTCGGGATCAAGAATAGCAGGATCCCCAGCTGGAATGCCCAACATGGAGCGGACTGTGGTTCGAAGCGTGCCCATGTTGGGGGATCTTGGGGCAAGTGGGTCATAAGAGCACGAAGGACGATACGCCATGAGTTCCGACACTAGCGCCACGATCATGCTAATCATCAAAGCTCCAAGCCTTGTTCGGGCTTCGTGCTTCGCAGCAAGATTCCTCTCCGGCACACCACCAACCGGACGATCTATGAAAAAGCAGCTAGGGAGCTGAATCAGCGAGCCATCGCCATTACCTGTATGTGCAGGTTCTTTCCTCAAGCAGAGGTCCGTTTCAGGGTGCTATATGATCGCAGTATACTGACGAGAAACCTGTCCCCTGGAGTACACTTACCTGGGTGTAACTATTGGGTGAAGATTAATTCCCCTCCCACCTCCCCAGCTCCACATGTGTATGTTTATACGTATGCATAAAATATCTATACCTATACATAGAGAGAGATATGTGTGTATATATATATATATATGTATATTTCTGCATGCCTTAAATGCCTCTGGAAGCTATCCAGAGCTTTCAAGCCAAACACTCCTCGAGCTTTGGGGCTTGAGTTTCGGAGTAGGGTGTGCAGCTTGTTCTTAATCCAAGCAGAAGCGGCTGTAAGAGGATCCTTTCTGCTGGCCATTCCGGCCATAAACTCTGAAATCTCAACCCTTTCGCTGCTTGGCGACAGACTCTGGATGCCAAACTGGTGTCGGCAAGATCCTCGTGGCTTTTTTAGCCCAAAGCCTTTTCAACCCCTAAAGCCCAAAACCCTTTGCAAAACCCTAAACCCCTAAACCCTTTTTTGCAAAACCCTAAACCCCAAAACCCTTTTTTGCTAAACCCTAAACCCCAAAACCCTTTTTTGCAAAACCCTAAACCCCAAAACCCTTTTTTGCAAAACCCTAAACCCCTAAACCCTGAAACCCGAAACCCTAAAACCAGAGTTGCTCTGAGGGTTTCGGCTCTTACTATCGGCTCCAGGTCTGAACTCGGGGTTTTGGGGGTTCAGGGTTAAAGGGGGTTTACGGGGGGGGGGGGGTGTAAGGTTTTTTTTTGAGGGCCTTTTTGCAACTGCACTAGTCTCTAGGGTGTATATAGGGGGTTTTGGATTCAGGGTTTAGGATTTAGGGGTTTAGGGTTTAGGGGGGGGTTTAGGGGATTTAGGATTCAGGGTTTAGGATCTAGGGGTTTCGGGTTTTTAGGATTCAGGGCTCAGGGTTTAGTGGCCTTTTTCCCTCCTTTGCGAGAACGAGGCCCCGGATTGCAGGGTGTTGGTTTAGTCGTTTAGAGTTTAGTGTTCAGGGTGTACGGTTTTTGAGAATTCAGACAAACCAGATCCTTGCTATGACAATGCCTGGCAAGGGGTCATGGTTCGCAAGTTTTGAGTTTGAATAGGTCTGGGCTGGTAAGATGATAAGGGATACAGATCCTAACGCATCTAGGTCCGGCTTTGCCTCAGCCACTGGAGAGTCATCCGAAAGCGTCATCCCAAACCGAATCCATGATTTCTTAAGTTTAAGCCTGGAACAATGACAACTCTTCACGATACATTTGCATTCCTTCACGGCTCCTTGTATTTTGAGTCATGGGCGATGTTGGCACGCCAGGTCCTTCAACGACCAATGCCGAGACGCGGATGCTTAGGCGCCGAACCCAATGGAGATAAAGTATTTAGCATAGGACATCGTGCCAAAACAGAGTAATTTGTACCTCTGCTATGCTGCCGTGCTCATCTGCTTCGGCAATATCGTAGCTTGGCGAAGGTCACGCCTTGACTATGAACCGCGAGCTCCAATCGAAACCATATTGCCTTCATTCATCCCTCAAACGCAAGCCCTGATCTACACCGGTTCGATCGGAGGTCGCTTGTACAGCCACCCTACGTCCCACGTCCCCAACTCCCAGAACCCCACACCCCGAACGAACTCAATGCCCTAAACCTGAACCCCTGTACTCTACACTAAGACTCTATACGTACCTTAAAATCCCTACGACCTACATGTGAACCCAAAGCCACTGAACCCTAAACGCCCCCAAATCCTTTTTGCATCCGGTCTATTGCGACTCTACCGGGAAAGACTTGCAGACAAGGGCGATGCCAAGCGAACTGTTAACTAGAGAACTCCTAGGGATGACCCCACACCCCTAACCCCCCGAAATCCCTAAAACGAGAAACCCTGCCATCAACTAGAGAACTCATAGCGATGACCCCCAAACTAAACCCTAAACCCCCCAAATCCGGAAAAACGTGAAACCCTGCCATCCTTGCGATCTGTATTTCAGACTCGAAGGGCTCGCCCAAGAAGCTGGGGCTCAAAATGACCACCACGAAGAGACTCTGCATGAAGGCACCTGGGGGTTCAGAATTTAGGAGCTTGGCGCTAAGAGAGTTGCAGGACTTGGGGGTGTTTTCGGGGGTCAAGGCTATCTTGGGTAGCAAAACCATCTGGAAAATAGCATAGTTTATGGGTGTTGCAGCCACTATTGTACATGCTTTTTGGTGGTTCGGGCTTTAAGCAGTTTAAGAGTTGTTTTCTAAGCTTGGTCCAGACTCGAAAGCTCAGGACTATGCGCTTGGCGGCATAATCTGAGGTGGCGGGATATTTGGGGTAGCCCCTCTGTTCGTAGAACCCAGACTTGAGTCATGAGTCATACAAGTGTAGTGTAAACACCTAGTTTAGTTCCGAAACCACCAAACCTCCGTCACGTTTCGAACCCGTGAATATTTCACAGCCCACACCCCCAAACCCCAAGCAATCCCAAGACCAGTCCGTAACATTCCCAAAACCATCACTGACTAAGTCGATCGCCCTTTCCCAATGTCGGACCGTTGTAGAAAGGAATCTCTCATGATTGCCACGCGACTAGCTGACAAGTCGCACTGCAAGGACTGGCAGGACTTGCTGTATGACACCGGAGGGACGGGGGAAGTCCGAAGGACGAGTGGAGGCCAACATGTCTGGGCTAAAGAGCTTCGGGTGTACGTCTCCCTCTCTCTTGCATATCTCAGGTACTCAGGGAGCTCTGTGAGGCGCGAAGGGCCACAAGAGCAAGCTGTTGACAATACGAACACCGAAAATCTTCGAGACTGTACGATGGTAGCTTGTGTTGGTTACGCCACCGTTCTTCTAACACGGTAGAAAACAAGTCAACTATCGGAAAAAAATGCTAAAACTCAGGGCCCAGGTAGGGGAGAGAGCCGAGAAGCTCATGCACGCGAGGATCAAGGTCAGAATGATGTCCAGCCAGCCTTTGGTCAAGGTTTAGGGTATCGACTCACACACTCGCACTCGGTTGGCATGGCTTCAGACATCTCAGGGTTTAGGGTTCAGGAGTTTTTCAGCTTTCCTCGACATCTAAACCCAAGAATTCACCCGTAGCTTTTGCTTGGAGCTGCCTACTATAGGGTCCTTAATGGTTAGAATATGGGATCGTTTCAAGGGGTCTATAAGAGCTACTACAAGGGATCTATAAGGGTAGTATAATGTAGGGGCCTTGATAATTAGAATAGTGTTCGGGATCCGTTTATACTGTATTTACAATAAGGAACCCTCAAAAATAGTATTGGGATTCATTTTAGCCCTTATATTGCCCTAATTATTGAGTTCAAATTCAAGCACACAGAATGCAGCAACAATGGCATGAAGGGCAGTTCAGGGTTCGCCACCATGGCTAAACAGATTCTCCCTAGCATCAATAAACAGTAAGAGCCGCAGAAATGCGAGGACTACCGCACTTGTTTCGCGGGATTGGGGTTCGCTGGCCTGGACTTCAGGACGTTCGGATTCAACGGCAGATGGGGCAATGCTTTCGAGCTGGGACCAACAAAGTTTATCTAAACGCACATCTGTGAGAGACTTGGCCAGTGCGTCATGCGAAATTGCAAGTGCTAATTTGCACTCGTGGCTCCATTGCAGATCCTCGCTACCCAGATACTTGGATCCGTTCTTGTATGAAACATGCTGACGAAACTGCTGCTACGTGGCCAGCATCAGTGAAGCCCAGGACTAAGGCCACGTTCCACACCTGGGAAGTGCAAATCCTACTTGTCAGGTATCATGGGGAACTAAAGGTTAACCTTTTTGGCGATATACGGATTATATAGGGATTACGCTACCCAAAAAAGCGTAAAGGATCTTAAAGGTTACCTACTCTACTACTAGGTCCTAAACACTAAAACGATTATATATGGACTACACTACCCAAAAAGGGTTAAAGGTTGCCTACTCTACTACTAGGAAATTGCCATCTCTGCACTGGTCACGGGTCTTGCCTTTGGTTAGTAGGGAATGGAGGAATGGGGGTTGGGGCTTAGGGTTTAGGGTAGTAGGGAATGGAGGAATGGGGTACAATTATAACTACTATTACTACCAGTCTTCCATTCCCTACTAACCAAAGGTAAGGGTTTATGGCCGTTTCTCTACACGGTATCTAGGTACGCATGTATACATACATATAGTATGTCCAGACATGCTTATTTCACTTGTTTCTGCTGGGCTCCGTTGGAGGCGACACTGCATGTCGCACCACCGAAATCGCTCTCAAAGTCTCTCTCTCTCTCTCTCTCTCTCTCTCCCTCCCTCTGAGTGTATGCACACATCTCTGTCTGTGTGTGTGCGCCTGCGTGTACGAATGCGCGCTCCCATTATCCATCTTTCTGCCATTGAGCATGGCTCTACCGATTCCTGAAGGGCATTAAAGTTGGAGCCTGCAAGCCGTCGGTAGCTTGCTATGCTGTATTGTCACACGAAAACTCGATGTGCAGGAATCCCCCTTAAATCATGCATTTTGAAGGCTCAAGGGCTTTGGGATTGACAGTTTCAAGGCTTTTGTTCATAGGAGACAACGAAATTCTCACACAAAGGCCATGAATCCCTGGCTTCAGCGGAGATGTTTTCCAACTGCTTCCGCTTCGGTGGCGTTAAGTCTGCGCTTCGATCTTACAGATCGAAGTAGTCGATCTTACAGATCGGTGTTGATCTTTCCTTCCGCTGGGAGGACCGACTGGTTCCCAGGCGGTGCTCGCAGACAGGAAGCAGAGGAAAAATTAAAGTAATATCGAAGAGGGTCGGGACGGGTGGGTGAAACAAAATTTCGCTCAAGCTGTAACAGCTTTCGCCAAAATGGCCACGGAGTATACAATCATTCGACATGAATCGGTGAGTCAATCCCCTGACCGATTCGGTGTTTAAGTGAGATATGAAGTTGTCACTTCGCACAAACAAGTGTGTGCTACACGACAACGAAATTCTCACACAAAGGCCATGAATCCCTGGCTTCAGCGGAGATGTTTTCCAACTGCTTCCGCTTCGGTGGCGTTAAGTCTGCGCTTCGATCTTACAGATCGAAGTAGTCGATCTTACAGATCGGTGTTGATCTTTCCTTCCGCTGGGAGGACCGACTGGTTCCCATCGAGTGTGGTCGCGTCCTCCCATCGCAGGCGAACGCCACTCGAAAGAACATTAGCGTAACATCGAAAGCAAATGGTCGTGCAATCGGTGAATTTCGGGTAAGTCGGAAAAACCCGTCGAGGAAGCAAAATGGATATCTCCTATGATCTTCGCAGCTCTACTCGTCAGTGCATTAAGAGGCAAATCGAGTTTAGTCCAGCTCTCAGACTCCGGAACGTTCTCGAAGCGGCTGATCCCGTCGGAGATGTTCGCCTTGGTGGGTACCCGCTCAAGTCGATGTGCAATGCTGCGTCGATTGTGCCAAGTCCAATGTGCCGCAATGAGGCAATTCAAAGGTTGATGTTTGCCGACGCCCTTGAGTAGGGCGTGTCGGGAGGCTTCGTTGTCACAGCATTGAACGTAGAACTGATCCAACCAAGGTTCGAAGACCAACGGTGCCAGTATCGCTACCCATGCTTCGAGAAGGTAGATGAAGGCCTGGTCGGAGGCAAACTGTCGAACAAGTAGTGAAGGAAGACGACCCTGGAAGTAGGCGGCGGTTTGCACGTCACCGTGGTGGAAGCAAACCGCTGCCCAGCCGTTTTCGATGTCGGACGTCGACTTTGAGTCCCAATTCGGGATGTCGCTGTCTCCCGGCTTGTAGATGGTGGAGCCAAGCCGGAAGTATGCGTCCGTATAGATGACGCTGTATGTCGGCTTGGTCGGTGTGCGTGGTATCGTCATTGGTCGGCAGTGCTGTATAATGTCCTTGAGGGCGAGCAGTGATGAGCGCGTGGGCTTGTCGAGGGCATGTGAGTAGGAGTGAGCTCGAGAATAAAGTGCCTTCAGGGCCGCTCGGCCCACCTTGCCAAATAGTCTCCCGGTCAGGAAGTTGCACTTCCCGGCCATCTTCCTGGCTTGCTCGGGGGACAGTGACGAAGTAGCCAGGTGTGTGTCGATTTGTCTACACATGTTTTCGACTCTCTTTGGACAAGGTGTGAGGACCAAGTTATCGTCGTCGGATGAAATGATGACTCCTTGTATACGATGTGCTGTTTGCGGTGGTTGACGTTTACTGGGCTTCATCGATATCTGGAGACATCCGTTGTACTCCTCGAAGGACTCGAAGCTGCCTTTGGCGAGGTCGGAGTCTTCCATGGATCCGTAGTCGTCGACGTAGTGCATGGCCGGAGACAAGATCATCGTTCGGCTGCATGCCACGAGAATGTCGCCGAATCGATTGTAAGACCAGACACTTGCGGCCGATCCGAAAAGAAGGACATTGTGGCTCCACAGCGTTGGGCCGTCCGGGGTCAGCAACATCACATAGGCTTCTCGAGGATCACGAAGTGGAAGTTGGCGATAAGCCCCGTCGTGGTCATGTCCCCAAACAGACAAGGGTTTCGAGTGATCGGTTCGGAGTGTAGCGAGTCCCAAGGAAATAAAGTGGTCGGGTGTGTGATGGTACGGTTGGTCGTGCATGGTGCAGGTCGCATTGTGGCCACTCCGGCGCCAATCCTCGCCTCGTCGGACTTTGTTGTTGCCGTCGCTGCCGGTCTGTTCGATGCTGAAAGCCATGGCGATGTAGGGATCGGAGTGTGGTAGTGGTAACAGGGCTCGATGTTTCCCTTTCGGTGGTACTGTGGCGGCGCGAGGCCACCAGTCGGGGGCTTGATAAGGTCCGTTCATGCGTCCCATGTCGACTTCGGCCAGAATTTCATGCAGCATCAGTTCCCAATGTTCGTCGACGGAATTCTTCTCGATCTTGTCGTGGATGTACTGTCGGTTCTTGTCACCAAACTCGTCGATCGGTGTGGGTTCGAGATATTTAAGGTCTTGTCGAACGTGCCAGTTGATGCCTGGGGTCAACTTGCCCATCAAGGGGAAACCTTCGGAGAGTTCGCGATATATCAGCTCTGTTTGTGGGTATTGGATCAGTCGTAGTAAGTGAACGAGTACTGGGATCTGTGTGACTGAATCCTTGTGTCGGTATGCTCGTTGTACGTGTTCTGGGAGTGTGTGATACCAGGCCATGGTGTAATCCTCCATGTCTTCGACGAGCTCGCGGATGTCGGCAATGATCGCTTTCTGGAAATCTACGAGTGGGTGAAACACATGTCGATGTTGTAGGCACCACTCGAGGGTAGGATCCAGTGGCTTCGGAGCCAAGTGTGTGTCGCGATGAAGTGCCCAATCGAGGTGTTCTGTCCAGGAGAACTGAGGCATGTAGTTGTGTGTCGTGGAACGAGGAGGAGGACCGAAAGGGACTTTGTGGTGTAGCCACAAGGCAGTAATCTGTTGGAGAGCCGAAGATCGTGGTGTGTCGGGGATGGTCGCGTTGACGGTCCCGAGAAGCAGCAGGAACATGATCCAAACTGCCGTGGGGAGATGCCAAGAGTTGCCCAAAGCAACGCATCGTTTGGTTTCGTCGCCCTGGGCGAGTGTGGCGGTGTAGTCCAGCGGTAGACCTTGAAGTTGTTCTCGAAGTGTGGCGGGTGCTGTAGACCATGTGCCATCGGGCAATGTCACCAAGAACTGCTCCTCGTACTGCCACACGGGGTACCGACGATTGTCCTGTTCCCATCGTTGCCACGCATCATGTGAAGTCGAGCGATCTCGGAGATGTGTAGGCGGATCTCGGCCCGTAGTCGATGTTGATGGTGTAGTCAAGCAATGGAAAAGTTTCCTGTCGCTATGGAGGCATGGGGGAAGGGAGTAGTCCTTCGTCTTGATGTGTGTCTGCAATTCCTTAGCGATCGGGTTATGGAGTCGGTGCCATGTTCCCTCAAGTTTCCAGTCCAAGGACCAAGGTGTGAGTCGTGGAAGGCGTTCCTCGATGATGTTCCAAGGGATCGATGTCCACCACAGCCGCTTCCGGTGCATGATTCCGGCGTCGGCTGCATCGACGACTATGGGGTCCATACTCAGTGGCGATGTGAGCTCAAGCAAGTTGTCGTGAACATCCGGGTGAGGGACCACGTTCTCGAAGATCGTTTCAATGGCGATGCCAGTGAAGCGTTTCCGGAGTTGGTGTTCGATGCCCACCATGTGACTGAAAAGCCAACCAGATGTGCCCTCGGAGCCTGGGGGTCGGTGACGCAAGTTCGAAAAATCGGGGCAAGGTGGTCCAGCGGTTATCACCATTATGTATTGTTGATGGAGAGTAGCAGCATCGATGTGCTCCGCGACGGACTCGATGTCGAACTGTGTCACGTCCCCCATTTGTATGGATCCGAAGTGTTGTGAGGTAAACTGTGCACACTCGAGGTCGATCTCCCAAGAAAGGGTCAGGAGGATGTGCCCATTGATTCGTCGTAGTGCTTCGGAGGCAATCCCGATACCATCGAAGAAGGACAGGTGCACCACCGGTAAGGTGCCGACCAGCTCGTAGCACAATGTACAAGTTCGGTCGTGTAACTCTGTCGGTCGATGGTCGGCTCCAGGGTCAGCAGACCCTGGGCCGTGCTGTCCCTATTTCTTGCCGGACTTACCGGCTTTGCCCTTCTTGCCGGCGCCTTTCGAGCCTTTGTCTCCCTTCGCGTTCCAAGGAGGTCGTGTTTGAGATACATGAGGAGCCGGGTTCAGTGGCAGGGTCGGTGATGGTGTCGGAGTAAAGAAAGTCGGCGTCGTAGGAGA